AACCCTCATTTCTTATAGAAACCTCAAATTTCTGAGCCAAGCCTCTTGCAAAAGAAACCATCAGATTTTGGTTTTAACAGGTCTGGGACCTTGTACAGGTCAGAGGAGCTAAAATTCTTTCTTTTTATTTATTTGATGGGGGGGCGGGGTAAGATAGAGACTGTTCATTGTACCTCAACATCTCCAATGGCTGGAGCTAGGGCTAGGCCGGCTAGACCAAAGCCTGAAGTAGGGAGCTAAATCTAGGTTTCTCATGTAAGGGTGGTGGGACCCAACTACTTCAGCCATCACCTGCTGCCTCCCAGGGTACACATTAGTATGAAATTTGAATGGGAAGCAGAGCTGGGTATCAAACCCAGGTACTATGATATGGGATACAGGTATCCTGAGTGGCAGCTTAACTGCCAGACCAAATATCCATCTCTTTTTCTTTTTCACTTAATAAGTAAGCATAACTTGGATCAATAAAGCAAAACTTGAAATTAAAACATTGGATAGACAAGGATTTCCAAAACATTTTTGCTTCAGGAAAATCTCATACAATATCAGCTATCAACAATATCTTTGGCACGGTAGACAGGAGTTTTAAATAAACATTTCATTTTTGTAGTTAACGTGGTAGTACTCTCACTTTGATGACCTTCATTGAAACTTGCCTCCCAGTATTTGCGCCCCTAGCTGGCCCCTCCTTGGAGAGGCTGAAACAGTGGAGTGCGTCAGCCAAGCAGAAGCTGTAACAGTTCTGGGCCCAATCTGCAAGAAGACCTGGCAGCTTCTGCTCTCAGGAAGCCATTCCCTGCTTGAGAAGTCTTCCCACGCTGAGACTGGCATTGCCGAGAAGCCTATCCTAACTGCTCAGAACAGCCCTGTGGATGAGAAGCCGGGTCCAGAAAACACCTCAGCTGAGCTCCCAGCCAGCACCAACTTGCAGCTGAACCACTCCAGGCTGATAACATATGGGCAACTCAGTTGTCCTCACAAGGCCCTGCCTCAAGTGCAGAATTAACAGCAAATACATGAAATGATGAAGTTACCAAATTTGGGTTAATGAGTGCAGCAACACATAGCTGTTACCAGATCCTTCCTCCTCATCCAAACTTTGTTATGGAAGAGGCATTCATTCACTCATTCATTTTATAAAATGGGAACAACTTTACCATTTATTCTTCAATAAATGTTTTCCAATAATTTCTGTTGGGTACTGTTGGGCACTAGATGCCCAAAGATGATAGAGACTTAGAGGAGCTCATAGGCTAACTACCACAGAGGTATCTCTTCCATGTGGCACAGCATTATGTGTCAAGTTCAATGGCAGTGCCAGGAAGGAATCAATTCATTCTACCAGGAAATGTCTTAGAAGGAACATCAAGGCAGAAGGAACCTTGATTCTTGAAGGATGAAAGAGCTTCTAAGTGGAGAAAGAGAGGTGGGGGACAGAATCACTCCATCCTGAAGAGGCAGCATTAGCAAAGTGCTTACGGCATAAAGGAACAAACATGGTCATTAGGAGAAACTAAAAGTACTCTGGTGTAACCACAGCACAAGGTGAAGTAACAAGTCTAAGCAGCCTCGAATACTCTTATAATGAATTTGCCTTGAGGGAAAGGTGAAACCATCTGAATGATTTTCAAAAAATTGTACTTAAATGAATTACAATTTATGTGCAGTAAAACACATCTTAAGTTTTTTATACATAAGGTTTATTTGTGTGTGTGTGTATGTGTGTGTGTGTATGTGTGACACCTGTGTGATCACTACCAGGTCAAGACGAGCCTGGCATTGTATAATGACAAAACCTGACAAGGATATCATGAGCACAGACCACAAATTCTAAAGAAAATATTAGCAAAGAGAATCCACAGTTTATACAAGAGACAGTTCAACATGAAGAGGTCAGGAATGCAAGATGATTTGACATTCAATAATTAATAATGTGAATCACCACCACATTAGAATAAAAAACCATATGATTGATTTTCTCAATACATGGAGATATGTGATTGATAAAATGTAGCACTCAGCCATGATAAAATTTTTATCTGAGTGTCTAAACAAGGGAAAGGCAGGACCAGATCTATGCTTTTTACAGTAGAAGGAGCTTTCTTGCTCTTAGACCTAAAGTATGGCATTCTCTGGGAAAAGTTTCCAGAGATATGGGATAAAGCAGAATCCCCAGGCATCTGACTCTACCATTTGAAGGACAATGCCAAATGCTGTTTGCCAAGTGAGCAATAGATTTACTCCAGTTCGCCTTAAAAGCTATGCAGACAAGCAAGGACTCAGACACAGAGTCCATTAAAAATGTGATTGCTCCACACATCACAGGCAGCAGTTCTAATGGATACTGCCTACATGTTTCTCAGCCTGGGGGATATCTACTGAAACAAAAACGAAACAAACAGCTGAATAGCTCAGGCATAAGGCGGTGGCTCACAGCAATTATAGTGACAGGGAGAAGTCAGAAAACTTGAGTGCCAGTTTCGTGTAGTGTGCACTTTGGGGAGATGCTTTATTTCTCTGGGCTTATATGTGGATTAAAGTAGATGGGACTTGGAGTGAATCAGAACTAGGATTCAAGGGAGTGGGCAGTTAGCCTAGCAGTTAAGATGCTTTTGTCCCATATTGGAGTGCCTGGGTTTGACTTCCAGCTCCAGCTCAGGCTCCAGACCCCAGCATCTGGCCAATGTAGAACCTGGGAGGCAGGGGTGATGGCTCAAGTAATTGGGTTCCTGCCATCCACATAAGAGCTCCGAATTGTGTTCTCAGTTGAGGCTTCAGGCTGTTGTGGAATTTATGGAGTGAACCAGCAGATGAGAGCTGTCCTTCTCTGTCTTTGTGTCTGTCTCTCAACTAAATGACTTTTAAAAAATTTAAAAAGAACTAGGATTCAATTCTGGCTCTTTTCTTAACCATCTATGTGACCTGTGCCTCAGTTTCTATGTCTATGTAATGGAAAAAAACCTCAAAATGCTTCTCTGAAGATTAAAAAAGATTATATTAAGTGAAGCACTTAACATTTTCAATGAACATATTGAACACTTAATAAAGGTAGACGTATTAATACTTTTAAGAATTAGCTATTAGGCTCTAAAATGCCATAATGATAAAGAGTAGACTGGAAATACCAATTTGTTCTGACACGGAGACTGGTAGGTGTTGTGGAAAGCTTTGAAATTCTGGATCGCCTGCCTCTCATCACAGGTGGTACTGTAAGAAGCCTGATAATTTTAGCAGGAAGGAAAACAGAAGGGTAGACATTCTTGTGTGATTTAATCTTGGTAATGTACCAATGATTTCATTACCATGTGCAGAAAGCTATGATGACATTTCTTATATTCTGATAACTACTAAGTGAAAAATCTAATTAAATGATGCTTCCATAGCATTTCCATAGAATGCAATGAATGTGACAACCAGAAGCCACTATTGATTATGCTAGCATAATTAATCACATAGTGTGTTTATGTAAGTAACACAACAGAGCCTGACGTCCGTAGTCAGACATGTGCTTTTGCTAGTAGTAAATAAGCTACTCACACAAACAAAGTATCCCCCTCACAGAACTGGAAATTTAATAATCTGCATGTGTAACATAACATATTATATCAAATAAATGATTTTTTCCCCAAAAGTCAAATTCAGAGGGTCTGTATGAAAATTTGAACTGTTCATTGGACTGGATATTTATACTGGAAATATTCACGAAAGGGGTTTCAACTATATTTCTTTTGGATCATGTCTATACATCTGATAATTTCTTCTTTATATGCAATCGTAGTCCAAGTCCTAAAGAATTTAATGACTGCAATTGGATTGCACTGTCTGTGGCCTCTTGGGTAATACGGGCAGCCTGACTACTCCTACTGGCCCATGCCTTTGATGCCTGTGAGTGTTGCCTCAGCTGCTATTCCATTGCATAACACCTCCAATATCTGTGAGCTTGTTATGACCACTTCAGCAATAGGCTCTGTCACCCTCCTGTCCACAGGGCAAAGAGCAGGACTGCGATCCTTTTCAAACTCTTTCCTTATCTTCTTAGTAATTTGGAGCTGGGAAGAGGAGTCACTAACTCTGTCCTGCATTCAGAGTCAGCTGTGCCTTACCCAGACACTCCTTTTTTTCCAGCCTCTTAATCAACTAAAGAGAACATGGGGTTGTCATTCTCAAAGGGCTTGGGGGTCTTCCCACGTGCCTTCAGGTGGTCCTCTCTTGATGGTCACTGTGGCAGGCCATGCAAAGCACACTCAGAACAGAGAACCCACACCAACAACACTAGGAATATACAGAAAATCTGGCACTCAATAAAAACATGCCACAGTGAGAAAAGAGTCAGTAGACAACTTTCCAAGAGAATTTTAAAATACAATAATTAAAGCAGTGAAAGACAATTCTATAATAGTAGTGGCACTGGAAAGGAAGTGCTTCTCTGGGCAGCCAGTGTGGGTTTGGAGCTAGGCACACCTAGATCAGAATCCTGATTCCACTGCTTGCCAGCTGTAGGATTCTGAAGTCATTCAGTAGCTTTGCTGAGTCTCTCCTTTCTCCCTTCTTATTTAAAGGGAGCAAATAATACCTGCATGTTGAGTGCACTGCCTGCTACATAATAATAGCACTACTGTGAATATTTTACATCAGCATCCAAATATGCTGCCTCCTATAATAAAATGAATACAATGATGTATACTGAATGTACAATGATGTACTAAATACAGTCCCACTAGAATGTCACATAGATCTGAATTCAGAGTGAGAAAGCTTATCTGAGAACCAGCTTAGCAATTTTCAAATTAATGGACATTGGGGAATGCCCTCAAGCTCTTGAATTCTTAAGAGATGTGTGGAATGGGTTTAACCATACACTCCCAGAATCACCAAGCACTGTTGTGTATATAGAAGTGCTTTTTATAAGCTATAAATTCTAAGCAAGATAGATTATTATTCCATTAATGTTACTGTAATGCTACTACACATAGTTTTTAATGGATCGAGCCAGTTTTTTTTTTTTTTTTTTTTTTTTTTTTTTTTTTGCAGCTGATATCCAATGGTAAGAATGGGGGGTAGAAATATTTAAAATGAGCCACACATTGGAAAATGTTTGCTGATTATTAAGCTTACATGCAATGAGCAGTCTCCAGTTCTTTGGAGGTCACCTGTTACTGCTGACTTCCAATATAATCCCTCTCAACAGAAAAAGCAGCATTTTCCTGAAATAGATAATATATCAAAATATGCATAATGACTATATTTTCCCTTTAAATGCAAGTGTGTAGAAATGGCAGAGGAGAGAGAAATGATTGTTTAACAGTAGCCATTTATAGGCTCATCTCAAAGAGCAAATGCAAAATAAAGTTGAGAGTATTCATAAAGTCAAAATTGGCTCTTATACATCAAGTATGCTTTTTATACAAAGCAATGTTTTTGCCATGTAGGGAAAATTTCCACACCGCAAGAAGCAGCAAATTGTATGGTATTTTTTCTCCTATATAAATAAGTGTAAGTGTCTACATCTTTTTCAAATACTCTTAAGTTTCTGATTTCCTTTAAAGAAGTTTTCCACTTGAGAAATACCTAAAAACTCTGACCTTTGGCAAGGTCTTAAGACCAATTTACCACAGTCCTGGAAATAACAGCTGGCTCAGTCAATTTTGGGTAAGTAGAAATAGTTTTTAAAAAAATGCTATAGTTCTTGGTCCAAATGCAATAATTTGGTCTTCTTCCTGGGTCAGTTCTGGTTTCAAAAACATAACCTGTACATCGATAATACTATGATTCTACTACTTTAGCTCTTCGAAACAATGCCACTTAAAATATACACCAGTTTCAGTGTGCTTAAACAAATATGTCATTCCCAGTCTAGAATTAGACCACCATAAACACTTACCAGTTATGTTGTTAGGAGAGAAAGTCCATTTTCTAATATCTCCAGAAAGTCTTGATTGTAATATAGGCCATGGGTACAGCAATGATGACAGAATTCTAAGAAATCTTGCACATGTGTATAATTTCTAGCCAAAACAATCCGCATAAATGGCTGATTGCATAAACAAACCATACCATTTAGTTTAACCAAAAGCTGTGGCAGGAATATTCTCAAAGCCACTCATTGCTGTATGGTCAGACGGTTTTCATGCCCCTCTGCTCCATACAGAAACTCAAATGGCTCAGCAAATATTGACTGAATTATAATTCTGAGATCATTAATCTCTTTCTTTCCATATTTGAGGTTTGTGTCTTACTACCAATTTCACAAAATTAAAGTGACTAAAGAAGTTTAATCAGCAAATAATCCACCTACAATAAAAGAGATCCTGGAAGATAAATTCACAGGTAAGAGGCTTTTATGGCAACCTTGCAAAAAGGCTTTTTGAAAGTTGCATCCTTTGCATAAAAATGTTTCTGAGCAGAATAAAATATTTAACAGCAACATTAACTAAAGAAAAGACCTCAGCATCAGAGAAGCTCATACTCAGGTTCTTCCTTTGAGTATCTAGAAAGCTGCCTTTTACATATAAAGTCATTGTGTTCTGTTGGAACAGGGAAAAGATTTCAGACCTGTGGTCCCCCAAAAAATCCACAATATTTGTATAAAGATCAAAAATTTAATTTTACATTGTTACCAAAATTCACAACAAATTGGGTACCTTCCTGTTTCATCCTTCCCTCTGTCAACTGATTTACTGTGGCTTTCTAAATTATAAGCTCCCAAAAGAATTTTCTTTGTTCCACATATTACCAAAAATTACATCTGACATATCTTAGGTACACATTAGGTAACTGTTGAGTGAACAAACGAATTAATTAATAGATTTGGGAATATTTGTGGATTGTATCAATTTCCAGCTAAAGGGAAAAAAATCATGATTTCTTTGCTTTGAGACAGTGTGTCAACTTTTCCCAACTGTCTCATACCATCCTCTACCCCCAAAATCCAAGAAAAATGCATAAAAAGGATCAAGTAGGCTATGTGGGTATGTTAAGCTATATCTTCATGCAAAGTGTTCTGTCTTTGTAAAAAAAAAGTCATGCAATGTTGTTTTCTAATATTTAATGGTTTGCTGGTTAGGAACTTAGAAATAAATATGTCATGCCAACTTGCTTATAGAAGGCAGATTTGTGAGGTGGAGGGAATGGAGGGAAGGCTGGTGCCAGAGGGGATATGAGAACACTGCAAACCACTTCTGTGTTTGGCCCGCCACTGCCCTCTAGGGGACATATGGAAATACGCAAAATCTCAAGCTTCTAGATATTCTAGAAGACTAAAATCATCTTCTCTGTTCAACTTTTATGAATGAAAACAATTAAAAAGTAATTAAAATTAACTCAAGGATAGCTATGTAACATTTAAAAACCTTTACGCTGCATGCTTTGCTAGAGTCACCTAATTTGGAGTCACTCTGCAGATAAAATATTCTTTATTTTGTCTATCCTAATTTTCCTGTAGCATATTAAACATGTTATTTCCTGTCCTATTAGAAAACAGCTGTCTGTTATGACTACTGTGTTAGTCATTGTTTATACTTTCAACTTTTAGCTTTCAATGCCTGAGAAACTGGAAACCTCAGCTCCTTTCATTTGTTTTTAAATGAACTCAGACTTATACAAAAGAAAATATGCAAACATCTCCAAAGTTGTCAAATTGTTACTTATTTCTGAGCAAAGAAGTTTTGCTAATTCTAAATTAAGACCAAAGGTCAGCTTGTGATTTTTACTTGGCTTATTAGAGTCACTTAATTTCCTTTATAAATTTTAATTTCCTTTATAAATAACTTGAAAAATTAGGTCCAATATCTACTGTAATCCTATTTTACAGAACAAAATTACTCTTCTCTTTTATCCTAAAATCTTAGAGGACTTAACTGAATCATAATAAAATGAAGTTTCCAGAATTGAATATTCTACCCTGGGAGAGAGCGCCATGACTTTAGGGTGATATTGTCTAAGAGTGAGTTACAAGATATCTGTCTGCTCATCCATATAACATTTGTTGAGTAGGCCATACTCATTAATTATTTTAGGGGATTTAAGTATACAGAGATATTTACCCTTTCATAGACAAGGTAAGTACAGATGGTCCCTGACTAAGGACAGTTGAACTTACAATTTTTCCACTTCATGATAGTACAAAAGCGACATGCATAATTCAGCAGAAATCATACTTCAAATTTTAAATTCCCATTATTTATTTCCCATGTAGTGATCTGAGGTCTGATACTCTTGTGATGCTGGGCAGCACAGAGTGAGCTGCAACTCCCAGTCATCCATACAATCACAAGGAGAAGCAACTGGCACTCTACAGGGTGTGGGGTTGCTAAGCCAGGAGGCTCCAGAGGTTAGGTGTATTAAATCTAACATTTTCAACTTGTAATGTGTTTATCAGGACATAACCCCAGTGTAGGCTGAGGAGCATCTGTATTATAGTAACATTATTTGCCAGGTCTCTTACTGAGTTTTGTTCAATAATTTATTGAAATACTTAGCTTTTATGTATGTCATCCATTAGATTTCAAGTATGTTGAGAATAGGGAATTTATTTTGTTCATATTTGTATACAAATACTTGGGATTTAGTTTTATAAAACCTTGCAATAGTCTTTTAAGTGGGTGCTATTATCCTCAGCTTATAGATGAAGAAAATGATTTGGTAATTTATAAATTAGCACACAGGAGATTTAAACCCAATTGTATCCTAATTGTTGACATCATGTTTCTGTCCTGCTTATGAGCATGAGGTAGCGACCAGCACATAGCAGGTGTTCAACAAATATATGTAAAAGTATGAATTGTTTCGTCTCTCTTGAGTAGTGTGGTATTTGCTTCCATTTTGGTATCTCAAGTGTCTCAAATAGTGCTTGAAATAAAATACATCTTCCATAACTACTCAGTGAGTGAATGAATGCATAGTTTTTTATGAATTCTTGAGGATTTTTCCATTACCTTAATTCTCATGCTGTATCTATAGTGGTGAACTAAAATCATAAGATAAGTATTTTGTAATGGTGCTGTCTAACCAACTACCCCAGAATTCATTTTCAGCTAAACTCAGGACATCTGATAGGTCACTGACTTGCCTTGCTGGCAATTTTGTCATCCAAAAATCTGAGGAAATGAAAGGGAGAACTGATATTTCAAACAATTACATTCTAACTTCTAAGGGGAACTGCCTGGCCATGCAGAAGTAACAGGAACCTTACAGTACAATAAACATATAGTTTTAAAAACTGGATGAGGGGATAACTGAAAAGAAAAATCAGACAAATATGGCAAATTTATGAGAACAGATTTTCAAAAGTTCAGAGAACAGACTAGAAGAATTCTATAGCATAAGAATTTGAAAGGGGAAATGCCTTGAAAAGATTGAGAAGCTTGCAAAAATTCTAAACATACCAAGAAGCTTTTATTATTAGTTTTCGCTAGTGCTATGATCATGAATAAATTCTTTTAAATTTTATCACTGTACATTTTTAAGCTGTCTGTAAAGTGATTTTTCAGATGATCAATACAGTTCTGATTATATTATAATCTAATAAATCTGAGGTTACTTTAAAACATGCAAGATCTACCCAGCAGTTGCACATAATTCTGAAGTAAAGAGAAAATTGGAATGAAACCACTGTGGTGGTTATTGTGACATTCGGTCCAGTTTCTGTACATCTCTGCTTTAAATAATCTTTAAAGTAAAGAACATCTTTTTGCTTCATTCATCTGAGTGCATGGTTATTGAGAAGCCCTGAGATAACAGCACTCAGGTACGAGGGACACAGTGTGAGCAGGATAGAGTCCTTGTTCTTAGAGGGCTTATTTTGCAGTCGAGATGAATACAGTAAATAAATAAATAAATAAATAAATATGGTATGTCTTCAATTTCAGGCAACTGCAGTGGTGTTTTTAAAATATTTCTGTATTTGAAAGGCAGAGAGATACAGAGAAAGAGAAAGCACTCATCCACTGGTTCACTCCCCAAGTGCCCACAAAGACCCAGGCTTGTGGGGGTGAGGAACACAATCCTGGAGCAGGAACACAATCCAGGTCTCCCATGCAGGTGGCAGGAATCCAATTATTTGAGTCATCACGGATGCCTCCCAGGGTCTGCATTCGCAGGAAGCTAGATTCTAGAGCCAGAGGCTGAAATTGAACCCAGGTATGTATGTGGGACATGAAATTAAAAAAATTTTTTTTGTTTGAAATACAGAGAGAAAGAAATCTCCTGATAGTTCATACCCTAAATGGCCACAAACAGCCAGGGCTGGGCCAGGCAAAAGCCAAGAACTCAACTGGATTTCCCACGTGGGTGGCAGGAACTCAAATATTTGAACCATAATGTGCTGCTTCCTAAGCACATTGGCAGGGAGCTGGATAGGAAGCAGAGTAGCCAGGACTTGAACCCACACTCTGATTTAAGATGAGGGCAACCCAAGTGGTGAGCTATTGCAATGCACCACAGCACCCCCTTTGGATACAGGCATCTTAACCACTAGGCTAACAACCCACACAAATGGTGCATTTATGAAAAATTAAGTAGGGTAAAGGATGAGGAAAGTAGCAAATAAAGCAGAAAATTCCCAAGTTATCTGAGACTGAGTAGAAGAAACAAATCTCAGGATTCATGTAAGTGTTTGCTTGCTTGCTTTTTAAGGTGAAGAAGCACCATGTTCCCAAGAAAGCTGGACCTGCAATTCACAGACTATGCTAATATGGATGGATAAGAAAGAGAATGTAAAGTTTTTTATTTTCTTTGTCCATGTCAAGGAGAGAATGATGCTTGGAATGAAAATGATAGCCTTGTATTGTTGAGAAGGAAGAGAACACGAATAAAAAGAGTAGATGACTTGGGATATCTGCATCCCACATTGGAGGGCCTAGATTTCAGCCCCAGCTTGGCTCCTGATTCCAGCTTCCTGCTATGCACACCCTGGGAGGCAGCAGGTGATGTCTCAAGAACTTTGGTCCCTGCCACCCAAATGGGAGACCTGGGTTGAATTTCGGGTTCCTGACTTTTGCCTGGCCCAGCCCTGGCTGTCATAGTCATTTGTGGAGTGAATCAGAGGATTGGAGAGACCTCTCTCCCTCTCTGTCTCTGTCTCTGTCTCTGTCTCTCTCTCCCCCTTTCAAGTAAATAAATTAAAAAAAAAAGTGTTTAAGAGGATGCCTCACAACCTAAATGCCTTGAAGAATTTTGGTTAGAGCTCTCACTCTGTATACCCATTGTTCATTCTTTAGAAATTACTGCAACCCTGAGACAAAGAAACGATGTTGGTGTTGCTGTAGTTATTTGATTAATCTCAATTATCAGGATTTTATTGGTACATGAGATTTGGTTGTCATCCTTTTCTATTTCTTTTCAGAAGCTGCTGCACTAAAATTCCCATCCTTCTGGCATAAATTTCCTTCAGAAGGTCGCTGAAGGGGTCAGGTCCTGGCAGAGTTGGTACCTAGCGAGCAAAAGGGGAGCAGTTGACTCCAGTCCTATGATAAAGGAGGGCTGAGAATTCTAGGGACTAAATTGGAAATCTCCCTCCCACTCTTCTCCAACCCACTGCTTTGCCTTTCTCTTATTTTCTTTAATGCTCCATACTTTTCTCTCCTTTATTTTACCAAACAATTAAAATAGAGCTCTGTCTGAGCCTCCAAGGAAAACTGGGTCCCAAAGTTTTTCTGGAGAAATGCAAATATTCTCTCTGGAAACCATGAGAATGTAATTTAAAACCACAGGAGGATAACTTGGGAGGGTGTCAAGTGGGTATGGTATGTGGTCAGATGCAGGAGTGCTGCTTAGTTCAATTCAAAATTCTAACACAGTGTATAACTGAATTTTGCCTCTAGACATGTTCAATTCCTACTTCAAATTCCAAAAACTGGAATATAACCACTAAAAATGCCAAAATTTGAGTGTTTTGATTCTTAAAAATCACCAGGATACTTCTTGTGTTCTAGACCTGTTCCAGGTGTTAGATGCTGAGAACAATGGATAAGCTGAAATCCTGGCTATAAATGAAACCTACTTAACCACTGATGACCACCTTTGAGGAAGTACAGAGAGCAGAAGAATTGTACATAAATTATTGGCTAAGGTGAGTCTTGTTTCCAAAACCAGAAGGAAGCAGTTTCTTAAAACCTATGTATCAATGAGTCTCAAACCAACATAGAAAGACAGACAACCAGCCACAAAATGACTCCCTAAGGAACAGATCATATACATGAACATCATTTCTTTCCCCAAGAGGGTTACAGGGTTAACAACATGGAGATGATTAATGTATCTGGTTTTCTATAGGATATTTGCTAAGGCTTCATATGGCAATGTTGGGTCTAAGCTGAAGCAATGGGTAGAAATTAGGGGTATTGGCAATTTGCTGAATGGCTACAGGCAGAGGAGAAAAATGGATGTAAGTCTGGAAGGACATTTATAGTGCTGTTACCCAGTCTTGTTATCATCAACATTAAAAACAAAAACAAAAAGAGACATTTAAATAAGTAGAAAGTATGTTAGTCAAATTTGCAGATGATACAAATTTAGAATTTCACACAGTGAATAAAGGAGGTGGCATAATTATAATACACCACACTGCAAATGAACAAAAAATTTCGAAGTTGGTGGGAGGGAACAAATTTAATGAGGTAAAATTCACACAAATACCATGGAAGTGCAAAAGAAAAAGATAAAAACCCAAGCAGGCAAGCTCAGGATGGAGCATGTGAGTCTTGAGTTGGATATTTAAAACACACTTAGGAATTTCAGGTATTACTCTAATATAGTTGCCACAAAAGCAGCTTCATTGCCAAGAGAAAGAAATTGGAATGAGGCTGTTGCTAATTGTATTCTGTCCTTTGGTGGTCAGAGCATACCCCAAGTTTTCAAAGCATTAAAAAAACCAGGGCATGTTCAGAAGAAACCACAAGAAATGAGGAAGCGCTCGAAAGGGGCTTGTCATGACATCATAGAGGAAGTCAACATTTTGTTAGCCCAAAAGTTGTGTCTGGAACCTGGAAGTAGCATTTATAGACAGATTATGGCTAAATGTAAGGAACATCAACTAGAACAGCCTGAATTTGGGAGACTAAGGAAATCCAGTCATCCATGGTGCTTCAGCACCACGTCAGTTGTCAGAGTATGTGGGATCATCATTAACGGGTTTTCAGTCCTTTTCAACCCCTCGAATCTTCAGTTTCAGAATTGTCTCTTTTATAAAGATTTATTTATTTGAAAGGCAGAGTTATGGGGAAAGGGAGTGAGGGTGGGGAGAGAGAGAGAGAGAGAGAGGGAAAGAGAGAGAAAGAGAGAGAGAGAGAAAGACTTCCATCTGCTGTTTCACTCCCAAATGGTTGCAAAGGCCAGGGTTGGGCCAGGCCAAGGCCAGGAGCCAGGAGCTTCATCCAGTCTCCCGCGTGGGTGCAGGGGCTCAGGTACTTGGGCCATCTCTGGCTGCTGCCTCAGGCACATAAGCAGAGAGCCGGATCAGAAGTGGAACAGCTGGGACTGGAACTAGTACCCATATGGGATGCCAGAGTTACATGTGATGGTTTAACCTGCTGTGCCACAACACTGGCCCCTAGAATTGTTTGCTAATCCTAACAACTTATCTTTTAGAGCCATTTTCAGATGTGCTTTTAGGAGTTGGGGAAATTGAACAACAGAGGTCTTACAATCCCTCCCTTCAGCCCAACATGAACACTCCAGAAAGACACGTATTGTGTTTCAAACATATTGGCGCATCCTGGTTTTGACGTAGGCAAGGGAAGAATTGGCAAACTATGGAAACATTTGAAAATTCCAAGGCAACATGAGTAAAGCCACCAGTTGGAAATTGGGTTCCCAGTGTTGTCTCCAATTATATCTGGCTGAGGGAACATATAAGGCTTGCTGTTTCTCACTTAGCAGAATGTCACAGTGATCACTGATGGTTTGCTTGTAATAGACAATATCAACATTTCTCTCAGCACTATAACAATAAAAACACAGGTTGTTTTTAGTGATGATTCTATTCCAATTATGCTTGTTATCTAAACTAATGCTTCCCATGTTAAATACAGCGTGGTGATGTGAGTTGTTGTCGTAGCTTATATTCAGCATAAACAAATCTTAGCCTCTTCAGGGATGGGAACTCACTATTCCATCCATAAGTCATTTTCTTATTCACAAGACGGGAAAGTGTATGTTTCCCTTTTGAGTCCTTTATATTATATATTTGCTGATCAATATCATGTGAATCTATACCAGACATTAATTTTGTATTTCATGGTTCCTGGACAATATAATACAATGTTTTCCACAATTACATGAGGAACTAATAAATTTTTGAAAAAATAATTCACTATGAAACTTCAAAATCTTTTTGACAATAGCATAATTTGTTTTGCACTTACAGTATACATAGTAGAAAAGTTACAAACAACATGGGAATTAAATATTTTCTAACAATATCAAGCTCAGAAAAGTGCTTATGTAGCATTTTCCTGCTTGCTTTACATTTATATTTGTGTCACAATGCAAAGAGGGCATTTACCATCCAAGATTAATGCTATGTTTTCTATGTTATTTTGTATCATCTAAACTGCAGTTGGACTAAACAACAACAAAAAATAAGCAACTGAATGCTGAACAACCCACTATAAAAATAGTCATGGCCAGTAAAAGTCAACATCAGAAAAAATGTCCCAGAATATATGCATAATTTACCATTTTTATTTTGGCAAAACTTTAGAGTACTGTTATGATGAGTGAATAAAATAACATACATAAAGCTTCACCAGAAATTAGCTCAATGTAGCTGACTTTTATGGAACACTTATCATTAGTATTATTAAGGTAATTAATACTAGTAATATTACCAACTGAATCTAGAGTCATATGGATCATACACATTGACATATGAGAGGTCTATTTTTCACTTTTTAATTGTAGAAATTGTTTCTTAGATCTCCATTGCTTCAGAAATAGCTGTTTAAAAGTAATGAAAACTAATAACCTAATTGTTGTGCTTCTAAGTATCATCATCGGCTTAGTACTCAAACCCAGTACTGGTGGATTAAACGGCAAGCTCAAGGACTGCTTAATCTGACTACTGCTAATCTTTACCAAACGGCCTTGTCAGATGCAATTTGCTCTATGGCAACCCTGCTCCGAAGGTAGCTCCATTTATAGTATAGTATAGTATAGTATAGTATAGTATAGTATAGTATAGTATAGTATAGTATAGTATCTTCCATTTGGAAGTAAAATATACACTGATATAAACAAAGCTTTCCTGTTTAAATAGAAACAACCACAGTGTGGAAAGAAAGAATGCTTCTGGGTTAGAAAAAGTTTGTGAATCCTTGAACCATGCCGATAAGAGTAAATGTTCCTAACTGGGTGTCACAAAGACAAAAGTCAAGGAATGATTGCATACTATTATATAGAATGTCTGCTAATTTTTCTTTTGTGATTTTCTTTAGATTTAATGATTCAATAAGGGATGTCTTGAGTATAAATATAAGCAATTGCTAAGAAAATTACTTCCCAGAAAACAAGCGGAATCTTTCCTCCATTAAAAGATTTTCCTCTGGTGAACACTCTCATATTTTAGGGTAGATTAGATTCTAGTGTTTGGAGAAAATGAAATGCTGGAAGCTGAGACTCCCACAAAATCACATAGCTGGGGGTCATTTAGTTCATCTTCCTATCTCCCTTCAAAATAGCAACTAAGAAAACTTTTCAATTCTTTAGAATTTTTAGTATAAACTATTATTTGAGTCTTCTCTGAGACACCTCTCTGTTTTGTTTTGTTTTATTTTAATGACTACTTCATTTCTGAAGGAATTCTGAAATAATTACCCTAATTAACTGGATTATAGCATTGAAATCTCCAGAGCTAAAAGGATGAGGGCAACACTCATGGTGTTTTTTGCCTAGAAGAAATAAGGCTGACAACTGAGATGAGGCCTTCACTGGCAAGGAGGGCACACTGAGAAATACAAGGCTGGGAGAAGCCTGGAGGCCTGTCAAAGTGTGGAAAGATCACAGATTTGAACCAGATATCAAAAAAGATGAAAAAGTTATGTGTAAGTGAAATGACTTAGCATCACATGGTGGGACAAAGAGGAGACATGGGGTACTTGGGTGAGACTTGAGTTATGTTAGAAAGAATTTTTTCGCAGTAAGAAGGGATGCTCAGCACTGAAGTGAGTCCCCAATGTAGGTTATACAATTTCAATCTTCAGTGTTGTTTTTTTCTTAAAAAAAAAAAAAAAAAGTCTAAATATTTGAGCTGGTTTAAGCAAAATAGTTTATCTGGAGATAAAATAATTATCTTATTATATTGAATCAAAATGACTTCATAAATGCCATTTGATGCCTATTATTCTTTAAGAGGAAAAATTATATCCAGAAATTTCTATCCCTAGAACATTAAATATAACACTCCCAATATCTAACATGCATGGTCAAAATCCCAACTATTTCTACCATTTTTCACTAAATTTACAATCAGTTAGGAGTATTCTCATCTCTTTCTGTACCAGCTGCAAATTAAATTAGTTATAAGTAAATAGTAACAATATATACTTGGAAACTATTAACAAAACTATCAAAATCCAGTAATTGGAACCAGTCTTATAATGATTACATATACAGACCAAAAAAAAAGGCATGAATAAACATGAAAGACATTTCTAAAACTGCTGGATAAAGTAACTATCAGGTCTCCTTGCTTTTTTCCATGATGAGGACTAGACAATGGATTCTAAGGTTCATTATGAACAAAATGTCTTTGTTTTTTCATTCATTTTAAAATCAGACTCATACATATTTACACACATATTAACACATATATGTATATATATATATACACACATATATCCATAACTAAATTATCAGGCAAGGTTTCTCTAAATATCTATGGAGAAAAGAATGTCAGCTACAGAGTACTTATTACTTGGGTGTAGGATTTGGGTCTAGATTGTTAATAAGAAGTAGGCAATAGGATCCATGTTTACTGTCCAGCAGTCAGGGAACTTTTATCTGTTTCTCCTAGGCAGGACCTGTGCTTCCGGTAGTATATTACAAGTGCAGACACAAGTTTAGTTGAAGTGACATCTGTTTGACCTGAGTTTTAATCTCACCTCTAATTATTTATTGTCTGGGTGCACCTGCACAAGTACCTCTATTTCTCTAAGGACAGTGTTAGATCAATTGTAATTTCTTGGTTAGTCCTCTTTCCTTTGGGGAAGGAAATTCTGATAGTATTATGAGGATGACTATATTTTATAAGCAAATATAAAATTTTATATTGACTATATTTTATAAGCAAATTATATACATAAAAATTTCCTTTCTTTAGGGAAGGTAATTCTGATAGCATTATGGGAATGACTATATTTTATAAGCAAATATGAATGAGAAATGATTCTAGTCTCATGTTTGGTAGGTATAGTTGAGAGTTGCATGGTCCTTAGAATGATCCACATCCACATCCATTAAATCCATCTACAGCAGAATGCTATAGATCCATGGATGTACACATCCATCTACAGTAGGATGCCAACATATTAATTTATATGCATCAAGCTAATGAGCTGTATTGGCTGTAGTTTTTCCTCTATAGGTATAGATATAAATGTAAGTGCGTGGGAAGGAGAACTACAATCAATGAGCCAGTTATCTAGTAAGTCTGGGAATAACTGGAAGGTGTAAATGGATGACACTTAGTGCCATAATATGTTAAAGCAATCTCCTCCCTCCCGGACACATCTGCTAGATGGTCCAGAGACTCATATTCCTGCACCAGGATCTTCTTACCCTATCAAAGTTCCTTCCATCTTTGCCTCTTTTGCATCTCCCCTTTCTGTACCTCCACTATTGAACTTCTGATGCACACAAATGTTTACTCATAAAAGCTTTTGAGTTCCAGGTACACAAAATGCTGAAATTTCAAGCCAAAATACTATTTATTAGCTTGCATAGGAATGTGAGGTAATCATGTAAATGCTGTGTTGACATTACCTAGAAGCAAACCTGAGCTTTATCCACATTCTCCATGTGCCATTTGAAGAACCACAAACACATAATTGCATGTAAGTTCCCTCTCTGAAAGGGAACATGGTATTTCTATTTAGCACGAACATTGTTTTCCAGTTTCTCTTTATAAGCATTCTGTTTCTCTCTCTCTCTATATATATATGTATATATATATTTTCTATATATATATATATGTTATATGTTTGGGGCTGGCACTGTGGCGTTGCAGGTTAAGCTGCTGCCTACAGTGCCAGCAACCCATATGGGTGCCAGTTCGAGACTCAGCTGCTCCACTTCCAATCCAGCTCTCCGCTATGGCCTGAGAAGGCAGTAGAAGCTGGCCCAAGTCCTTGGGCCCCTCCACCCACCTGGGAGACCTGATAGAAGGTCCTAGCTCCTGGCTTTGGATGGCACAGGTCTGGCCATTGTAGCCATTTGGGGAGTGAACCAGTGGATGAAAGACCTCTCTCTCTCTCTCTGTGCCTCTCCTCTCTCTGTGTAACTCTGACTTTCAAATAAATAAATAAATCTTTAAAAAGAAAACAAAAAAATCCTATATATATATACATATATATATATATATATATGTATGTATGTTTTTGATGTGCCATAATGCTGGCTGCTTGAAATATTTCTTTTTGGCAAAAGCTAACAAAATTATATACAAAGATGACAATCGAAGAAAACAGAAACACCATAATAATGGGTTCTGGGATTACAAGGCTGAGAAGCTGGGAGTCAAGCTCAGTCCAACATTTGCAGCAACGGCATGCTCACTTGCATCTCATGCTTTATGAGAGGACGGTGGAGGATGAGGAAGTGGGGGACAATCTTCTCTGCTTCTCTGCTCATTCTGTTCCTTGTGATAATTTACAGTTTCCCTTGTAAGGCCACGTGACGCCACAGAAGTCGCAGGTAAAAATAATATATCTAGTCTGAAGCTCCAATATGGATCAAATAAATGTAAATGAGAATAACAAATGTTGTTGAAAAAGTCTCAGGACAGAAAAAGCTTACGAGCACAGACATTAGAACTGTGGCACTTAAGGAACGTGATAACAGCATTTCATTTGGATATTTTATTAGGAGGACCCTTTTAAAGAATTAAATATCTATACTTCATGTATTTAATTTACACTGTGACATTTGAAATGTTTCTTTTAAATGTATATATTTTCCTTTTTTTTAAATAAGAGAGTAAGGTGGCTGAAATATCCCTATTTATAAATATATAAAAATCCTCCTTACATGAACATAATCCCCAGTGCCCAGGCACGGATCATGTATCTAACTCAGAGTTGGGAAATTATATGCTGGAGTACTGATTCCTCTTGTTCCTTTTATAACTGACTCCTAAGAGAAAAGCTGGGAGATTTCAGTGATGCTCCTCTGAAGTAAGGTCCCTTGTTTCAAAAATCCATTTTTATAAAATTTTATGGCTTGATTAAGTAGATGCTGTCTAACAGACCCAACAGTAAATAACACAAATGAAAAAATATTACCTTGTAGTATGTTGTCTTATTGGTTGATCTCATGTAATGGGTTTTGTGTTTCATCATGCAAAAAGGTTTTAATAATAAAGACATTTTCATCAATTTTTTATAAAAGCATTTCCAGGACTAATAAATACTTCCTGGCTTCAAGAATACATTTGAAATTTGAAAGAGAATTTCTGTATTATGGAAGAGTTAGATACTTGGCACACATAATGTGTTCCAAATCATCTGCCTTTGACAGCTAACATGCCAATATTTAGACTTTATCAGAAACTTTTGAATGTGAAATTAGGGCAAGGATGCTGTGCAAGGAATTTCTTAAAATCATACTTCTATTGACTAAATTTATTGGCTTGAGATGTGTACATGATGGAGAACTACACATTATAAACAATTAAAAAAGGAATGTACATTTCTAATTAATTTAACAATTCTGACAGAATAGAATGAACTCTTTGGTGTTTTTCCCACTTATATTGTAGGATTAAAGTAGCAGAATGATGTTAGGGGAGTGTTAGCTGGGTCAGGGCTCTGGGAACATTTTGAGAACCTTCGATACTAAGTACCGCACACACTGGGAGAAGAGATTTTGCTTAAAGCTTAATATAATGCCAAATGAATCAATGTCAACTACAGTTGGAAGGGATTATTAAATTCTATTTTTATTAAACTTTAGTATGCCACTTATAGGTGGTTAGTTATACTTCTCCATCCATGCAGCCAAAGCAACCATTTGACTGAGGCAAACGCTGACTTAAAAAAAATAAAAAGAGTGAAAGGAAGAAATGAAGGCACAAAGAAGCAAGCTACAAACCCCACAATTGCACATCATCCCCCAGATATAATGATCAGACATAAATGATTAGGTTTGCTTACTTTTCCACACTCGCCAAATATAATTATAAATTATTGCAATCTATGTTGTAAACTCTGAAAATCTCAATGCGCCTTTTCTGTGTCACTACTCAGGTGCCAAATGGACATTTTATAGAAAAACCATTTCTCATCTACATGAACTAGAGAGCTGAGGGTGGGAAGGGGATAGATGGGGCAGGGTGGTTGATTTAAATGACATAACTCAGAATTTACTATGGACTTAAAATCTCTGACTTAACGTTGCATTAACTGCTGGTGGTTGCTTTACTGCCTTTAAAACATGCATATATAATTGGATACTGTAATGCTTTGCGGGCAAAATAAATACCAACTCACACTAAAATAAATACTGTGCATGATGAAGTTCATGTGGACATAAATTAATCATTTACCAGTTAACCAATATGCACAGGAAAGAAATAGATCACTTATTATATAAAGTGATTATAAAGGTTGCCTCATCTATAAAATGAGAAAAATAAAATGCTGATATATTTTACAGCAGTGCTGTGAGGAAAAATGTATAAAATTATTGCTAAGCAGTTTATAAACCATAAAATGCAGTATGAACATTAAATTAATAATATTTGTACTAATTCAGATTCAACACCCTTTGCATTAAATATATCTTTTTGCCTATTGAAGCATGCACAAAACCAAACTAAGCCCTTTTATTTAATTTTTAATGATGTCTTCAGAATTCTGCAAAGCATCACAGAAGTTATTTGCTGTGTTAAAAATATTTCAGTGGCTCACTCCCACTCCCACTAGTTTTAAGAAAGTTCTTGGCTGTTCCAATCCTCAACCCCGTTTCTAAAGTTGTCTCCCAAAGGATTTTATGTCTTTCACTTGCACAGACATAGTAGTTAGGAAGGGAACGTGGGTTTGAACTTTTTAATCAAGTGGAAGTTATTAACATGCTCTGAGCTTTGCTTTATTTTAATTTACAGATTGAAATAGGAAAGTAATGCTAACGTGGAGGGCAGGTGTGTTGAGTCTCTGCATATTGCATCAAACTCATCTGCAATGTTAACCCTCCTGGACAGCAGCAAGGTCTCAAGGTCATCATGCAGCTCAAAGTGTTATGGGTCTTCAAGATAAATCAAGCCCCTGTTTCTCAGCTTGCATCCAGAAATGCCATTCAAGGGTACAAGGCAGAACTAGGTAATACAGAACATAATTCCTTTATTCTTCACCTATTTCTTTTTATTCTCTTTTTTTTATGGAGTCTTATTATTTAGAAGACCTACTTGCACAAAACCTGTACTCCACTCAGCACATTTTTAACATTGTCAACGTCCCTTTGACTCTCAATGATAAAACACATCAGACGTTTCTCCACTCGTTTCCTTTTACAGAGACCATTAATACAGAAATACCCCCTCTTCTTGTACTATGAGATGACAAATGGCTGCCTGGAGATGTTTGAAATATTGCCAAATCTCTTCCATGTATCATGTGTCACCAGCGATAATAAACAGTGACTAATCTTTGGTCATGAACTGTATTTATGGCTTTCTTATCATCAGGAGGTAAGTATTTTCTTGAACCAGGTTTAAGGTTCTAATATTTATACTAGAAACATATGTGCTAGGATAACTGTGCTAGGTTCAAAGGAAATTAATCCTTGTTTTTCTTTCATTGCACTCTTTATGGAGCTTGGCATTTTCATCTGTGTCTACCTCTTTTTGCATTAGGATTCACCCAGGAGTGTTCTGATCAGGAAATAATCAGTCAATTCACCATTTTGGTGACACCAGAGTCCTTGGACAACAGGAAAAATAACAGGGAAAGAAACATGGCCACAATGCAAACTTATCCCAGTTAAAGATTCTCAGGGGTCCAAAGGAAGCACGGGGAAATTGCTCCATTTTCTAAATCCGACCCAGGATAGACGGCTCAAAGTCTACCCAAGAAACACCAGACTATTCAACAAATGGAAGCCAAATTAAGGCTTTCAGGGGAAAGAAATAGGGTCAATCATGGTGAAATTCTACTTTAATTCAATTTAACTAATATTTATAAGGTACATTCCAGACACTAGAGTAGGTGCATGAGAGATACCAGTCAAAACCAACAAAAATCACTGCCATCATGTAGCTTATGTCCTAATGAAAGGAGACAGGCTATAAGTAAGAATAAATTATATAATTTATTAGAAGGTGGAAAGTATCTTTGGGGGGGTATTAAATCAGGGAATGGAACCAGAAAGTGTGGGCAGGAGTTGTATTTTCAGAAGGCTGGTCAGCAAAGGTCTTATTGAGAAGATGATATTTGAACAAAGATTTGAAGGTAAGAAAGCAAGTCAGGTGGATTCATGGAAGATGAATCTCTCAGAGAAAACAGCAAGTGCAAAGGCCCTGATGTTGATGGAACTCTGAAGCAGCCAGAGTGGGCTACAGTAGAGTAAAATGGATGAGGAAGGAAACACAAGGAAATGAGGTCTGGGAGGTCGTGGTTGGCTGACTCTGCAGGAAACAGGGAGGCACTGGAGGATTTCCAGTTGAAGAGCAAAATGATTTAACTTAAACTTTATTGTAAAGAGACTATAGGGGGCAAAGGTGGAAGTAAAGAAATCAATTACATAAATTAAAATTAATAGTTCAACTGTCTTCTCTGTGTAAGCTTAATGAATATGATCCAGAAGTTAATGATAAGAGTTCAAAATCAGATGCAGACACATTGAAGTTGTAGCCAAACAAAGCTAAGACTGGCTGGAAGAGAGAATCCAATAAAACTCAATTCATGTCCACAGCATCAAATGGTAAGTCTGAATATATTTTTAACTAAGGTTATGGATCTATGATAAAAAATAAGGACTAAGGTTTCGGAATGTCAAGCATCTGTTGCTAAAGAATATATTTAAAATGTCCTTTTGAACATTGGGTTGTGGAATTAAGCAAGCACGTCCTATCATATGGAGATGGTCTTCTCAGGTACATTTCAGTCCTTTGCTTCTTGGGAGTTGAAAGCTGAGGAAACCCGGCCGGCGCCACGGCTCACTAGGCTAATCCTCCACCTTGCAGCGCCGGCACACCGGGTTCTAGTCCTGGTCGGAGCGCTGGATTCTGTCCCGGTTGCCCCTCTTCCAGGCCAGCTCTCTGCTGTGGCCAGGGAGTGCAGTGGAGGATGGCCCAAGTGCTTGGGCCCTGCACCCCATGGGAGACCAGGAGAAGCACCTGGCTCCTGCCATCGGATCAGCGCGGTGCGCCAGCTGCAGCGCGCTGGCCGTGGCGGCCATTGGAGGGTGAACCAACGGCAAAGGAAGCCCTTTGTCTCTGTCTCTCTCTCTCTCACTGTCCACTCTGCTTGTCAAAAAAAAAAAAAAAAAAAAAAGTTGAGGAAACCCGAGCCGTTAAGAAGAAAGCATATCACCAAGAACGATGAAGAACATCATCATTTGGATTAAGTGCAAGTATTTTTGCTTTAAAATTTAAAAGACAGGAATGGTGGAAACCTACACAAAAAGTTGGGTCTTCCCTAAGGAATGGACAAAGTGGAAAAATAAAAACAATGATGAAAGGCAATCTAGACTTCTTTAAGGGTACTTCAAAAAGCTTGTGGCAAAATGAATTAAGGTTTGGTGCAATATGAAATCCATATATACCAGGAATCTTCAAAATATTCGTGAAAAGCACATACTGTGAAAAACTACATGGACAGTATTCCACCTTCCTGGCCATCATAATGATTAGGTTGTGAAATAGCTCCCTCTCACCTCTCCAGAGCAGTTTCTGCTTAAAGCAAATTGAAGCCAAAATAGTGTCAAAATACTTCTCCAAAGTAGGCTACTGCATTCACCTAGGGAAATTTCTACTATAAATAGGTGCTAATTTTTAAAAGTGGCTTCTCAACTATATTAAAATATGTCAGAAAGATGTGTATGTTATTCATCCCTTAATTTTGGAAATCTGACTTCTCTCTAAAAAAAATTCCACCCTAGGAAATTCTAGGTGCATTATGTCAATTATCTGATTCTTTTTTAAAGATTTATTTTATTTATTTGAAAGGCATAATGACAGGGGTGGGGGGAAGAGAGAAAGTGTGTGCGATATCTTCAATCCCCTGGTTCATTCCCAAAAGCCTGCAATGGCTGGGGCTAGGCCAGGTGGAAGCCAGGAGCCTGGAACTCCATCCAGGTATCCCACATGAGTGGCAGGGGCCCAAATCCTTGGGCCATGATCTCCTGTCTTCCCCGGCACATCAGCAGGGAGCAGAACAGGAAGCAGAGCAGCTGGGACTCAAACTGGTGCTCCCATATGGGATGCTGGTGTTGTAGCATAGGCACCTAGTTTTTTTTTTTTTTTTCTTTTTGAGTCTAAGATTTTTGTTTATTGAGATAGTAGATGTAAGTTGAGCTTCCTCTGTTAATAAAAGTAACTGCATATTATAGTTATCATTCTTTACAATAAGAACAGAAGGGCCTGATAACAACCTCAAGGCAATGTAATGTTCCCTGAAAGAATACTTTAGAGTCAAGGCAGCAATAATAATGAACATAATAACTGCTACCATTTAGTCATTGCTGATGCATGGCAAATGCTTTATGTCAATTAATTTTCCCAACAACCCTATGAGGTAATTTTATACCCATTAGACAGATGAGATACATGAACTCAGAGAAGTCAAGTAAATTATTCAAGGTCACACAGCTTGAAGGTTATAAAGCACAAGTGGAAATTCAGGACTGTTGGACTTTGAAACTCTTGTTACACTGCAAGACATTCCCTGCCTTAAGATAATTTATATTTTTTTTTTTTTTTTTGGACAGGCAGAGTGGACAGTGAGAGAGAGAGACAGAGAGAAAGGTCTTCCTTTACCGGTGGTTCACCCTCCAATGGCCACTGCGGCTGGCATGCTGCAGCCGGCGCACCGCGCTGATCCAATGGCCTAGAAGAGGAGCAACTGGGACAGAATCCGGCACCCCGACTGGGACTAGAACCTGGTGTGCCGGCGCTGCAGGTGGAGGAATAGCCTATTGAGCCGTGGCGCCAGCCGATAGTTTAAGTTAAAACTATTTTGTGACACTCAACTGGTTTTGAAGTTGGTAATATTCATGTATCATATAACCCGCTAATCAAGATCTTCTATTAATCAGGATATCAAGGTTCCTTAACGATTTTATAAACATCTGCTTATTTTATAGAGTGAAAGCATGATCATCTGAAGATTCCTGATGCATTACTAACCACAGAAGTTAAAAAGTAATAGCCACCTGGCACTGTAGGTTATTTTTTATTTGCTTTTTTTTTCTATTTTATTCTAATTTCTGAGAAAATACAAATTAAGTAATGTCCCATGAACTTTGGTACCATCCTATCCATGGGCCTACCAGACCAGTCAAATATTAAGTAGGTCAGTCTACTTGTAAAGACACCGAAAAATTGGTCACCCCAAGCAGATGACTTAGTAGATGACTTAGCAGGCAGGCATGACTAATTGAGCTGAGATGGCTTACGGAATTACTGAATTGCTTATGGTACCTAGCACTGGTATCATTAGGGGCTCACTCTCAAATAATAAAACAATATCACCATAGTACTATTTTTGAGGGCCTAATGTTTATCAGGTACTATACTGATTACATATATTACTTACCTTTACTCCAGGATTTCTCAACCTTGATATTATGACTCTTTGTTGTAGGGGGCTGTCCTGTACATCTAAGGATGATTTGCAGAGTCCCTGGTCTCTACTCACTTGATACCAGTTAACACACCCCACCCTCTCTAATTGTGAGAGCCGAAACAATCTCAGTCATTGCTAAGTGCCTCCCGGTGGGCAAAATGAACCCCCTAAGAACCTCCACTTCACTTCCTCTACCACACTAGAACATCAGTGTTGTTAGAGTAGTAGTGCTTGATGAAGAAACCATGTCTCCAAGGGGTATAAGCAAAATACCTGAAGTCTCACGGAAAGTAAGTTACAGAAGTGGAACTCATACTGATTGTCTCACTCCTGACACTATTACACTATGAATTTTATCTGCTCTCTTTTCCTCATCCCTTAACTCTTTTTTTTTTTTAAAAACTTTTATTTAATGAATATAAATTTCCAAAGTACAGCTTATGGATTACAATGGCCCCCCCCATAACTTCCCTCCCACCCGCAACCATCCCATCTCACGCTCCCTCTCCCATTCCATTCACTTCAAGATTCATTTTCAATTCTCTTTATATACAGAAGATCAGTTTAGTATATATTAAGTAAAGATTTCAACAGTTTGCACCCACACAGAAACACAAAGTGAAAAATACTGTTTGAGTACTAGTTATAGCATTAAATCACAATGTACAGCACATTAAGGACAGAGATCCTACATGAGGAATGAGTGCACAGTGACTCCTGTTGTTCACTTAACAATTTGACACTCTTGTTTATGGCGTCATTAATCTCCCGAGGCTCTTGTCATGAGTTGCCAAGGCTATGGAAGCCTCTTGAGTTCACCAACTCTGATCATATTTAGACAAGGTCGTAGTCAAAGTGGAAGTTCTCTCCTCCCTTCAGAGAAAGGCACCTCCCTCTTTGAAGACCTGTTCTTTCCACTGGGATCTCACTCACAGAGATCTTTCATTTAGGTCATTCTTTTTCCTTTTTGCTAGTGTCTTGGCTTTCCATGCCTGAAATACTCTCATGGGCTCTTAAGCCAGATCTGAATGCCTTAAGGGCTGATTCTGAGGCCACAGTGCCCTTAGATCTTTTTAAAAATTTATTTATTGTATTTGAAAGGCAGAATTACAGAAAGAGAGAGTAAGGGAGAGATGGAGAGAGAGAGAGAAAGAGAGAGAGATAGAGAGAATCTTCCATCCACTGTTTCACTCCCCAAATGGCCATAATGGCCAGGGCTGGGTCAAGCCAAAGTCAGGAGTTGCCTATTGCTTTCCTAGGCATATTAGTAGAGAGATGGATGGGAAGTGGAGCACTTGGGACTAGAACTGGCACTCATGTGTGATGCTGGCACTGCAGGCAGTGGTTTTACCAGTTATACCACAATACTGGTTCCATCCTGTAACTTCTGTATCTCATCCTTGGGATGGAGCAGTGGGAAGGAAGGAAGGTACACATGACATATTGCACAGAACTTTTATTGTTCTGTGTTCTTTTATTTGACAGGTTAATTCCATTTTAATAGGAATTCCGGAAAGTAATGAAAAAAAATTACAAGTGTTAGATGGTCTATTCTCAGGGTTCTTGAATCTGTCTGATTTAATTTTAGCCAATTAGTTTGCCATTATGGAGGAATATTACATTGAGAATCAATATTATGCTAAACACTAATGTTTTATTCAGTATTAAAAATTTATACAAATAATAATACAAGTACTTTATCTCTACTTTCTCTAAATGAGAAGAAATGTTTCCTTAGGGCAATTCTAGCAACAAAGAAAATGATATCTTCTTAGGAGACTACTGATATTAGATTTTATATAGATCACTGCTTAAATGAATCAGTGAGATTTAATTGAATAAAATTTGTTTGTTTTCTTATAAGATGTATGAGTTTTTCATGATACCAAAATTGTTTTGCTTTTAATACCTACAATATAATTCCATGTTAAGATGATAAAAGTACACTACTGTCCAGTAAAGCCAAAAAGGACAAAGTGTCATATTTATCTCCATTTAGTAGGCCCTCTTTCTTTTTTTCTACTTGGATACTCTACTCTTTTATGATTTAGATAGAATCAGAGGCTGGAATTTGGACTTACATACTTCCTAAATGTGTCTTTCTTGTACAAAGGAATACAACTAAATATACTCTAAGATATCTGGATAAGCATCTAATAGCTACCAATAGACAGTTAAGCATGATTCCAAAGCTGGATTTCAAATCTACTTTCCAACCCTTACCCTTGCATCCTTTCCCCGTATCTGATCTTGTCATGCTGTTGATTCTAAACCTGAGCCCACTGCTGGGGTCTTCTGGAGCTTCTTGACTCCAGCACCTCCTTCCTCTAGCCTGCTCCTCTGCTCTTGTACTCTCCGAACTTCAGTATCTTTTTCATGGCACCTAAGATTTCCATAGTTTTGATCTAATGCAGACATTTACAATTTTTATAATCTATATACTTTAACTCAAATATTTGAGAACTGTCAGAAAACTATAACTTTTTTTTTTTTTTTTTTTTACAGGCAGAGTGGATAGTGAGAGAGAGAAACAGAGAGAAAGGTCTTCCTTTTGCCGTTGGATCACCCTCCAATGGCCCCCACGGCTGGCGCGCTGCGGCTGGCGCACCGCGCTGATCCGATGGCAGGAGCCAGGTGCTTCTCCTGGTCTCCCATGGGGTGCAGGGCC